TAAATAATATGTGGTCCTGAAATTGTAAAAAAATACTCGCGAAATGTAAACAAAGTTACATAATTTGTAAAAATCCGCACCATTCATAACTTGTTTATGAAATTTGGAAAATGTTCGCACATTTAAATATATGTTCATGGAATGTAAAAATTGCCCATGCAACTTCTTAAAATGTTCACAACATATAAAAAATAATCTTCGGGCCATTAAACAAATGTTCACACGTCTAAAAAAAGTTCATGAAAACATAAAAATGTATTGATGGAAATTTTAGGAAAATGTTCATGACATGTAAAAAATTGTTCCTGCACTAAACCAAGACAATTAAAAAAGTTCAAGGATTTGAAAAAAAGGAAACGGCGAGATATAAGAAGAAAAACGGAAAATGAAAAACCCCAAAAGAAAACCATAAAGCCAATAAAGAAAAACATGAAGTTATTTGCTTGCATCTTCAGGCAACCACATGAAATACTGAAGCTGAAACAGAGACACCTCCTAGAAAGCAAAGTGATCTTGAGCGTCCCTCAACTGAAGTTGCTTTTACTTGCTACATACACTGTGTTTGATTGCCTCTATTACTTACTTTGATATTTCAGATTTAAGCTTTGTTACTGCTAGTAATTAGGGTTACCCCTCTCGGAACTCAGAGTCCGGATACATGCTCTGTTCTTAATTCGTTTATACAGTAGCTTTATGCATTGGGGAATATTTTGTGTGGACAAATGCACTGTGTTTGATTACACTTGTTGCAGAAAAAGTTGTGTCAGAATTGTTGTGCCGTGATTAGATCGACCGTGGAACTCAATCATACGTGTGTTTTGTGTTATTGTTTATCATTTTGTATATATTCACGCTTAGTTAGTACTCTCTTTGTCTTATAATATAAGAACGTTTTTGACACTACCGAGGGAGTAAATGAGATCTATGTCCATTCATGGAACACATATCTGCAGGATGCTTGCTGCGTCACTACATCCAAGTGTTCAGGCTGGCAGTGTAGTCCTCATCCCATGGGTCACTTGGTAGAGCAGAAATCACCGTGTGTTTGTTGGCGCCACCTCCTCGCAGCGCCGCTCTTCTTCTACCTCGAGCTGCCTCACACAAGTCTTCATCTCTCTCAAGCTACTCTTCTCCTCAGTGGCTTCTCACAAGAAGACTCACACACACACAACACACGCATGTACCAAGGAAGAGGAACGGCTTTGCCAAAGGCACTCCTTTGGTGAACTACAGTGGCTACATGTTTTTCTACAAGCCCTCACGGCCTCGCTCACTTTCTCACTAACTCAATGCAACACTTATATACACAAAGGGTTGGCTGACTTGCCAAGCTAGCCGCCACACCCGGCCGCACTAACCCACTATGCACTCATGCACTAACTTCCGGCACACTCGGCCACTTATCAACTCACGCATGGGCAGCAACAAACTGCTGAACCACTCATGCCACTACATGCATGCTTTCTATTCCCTCCGTTCTTAAATATAACTCTTTCTAGATATTCCAACAAATGACTACATACAGAACAAAATGAGTGAATCTACACTTTAAAATATGTCTACATACATTCATATGTTATAGTCCATTTGAAATGTCAAAAAAACTTATATTTAAAAACGGAGGGAGTACTAACTACATCCCTACACTCGGCTAACAAACTCATGCAGGCTAATCACTACCACATCCACGCCTATGCCCGGCACTTGCTCAACCTCTTCTTAACGGCCAAAGGACTAGGCCAACTCAACATGCACGTAGAGCCCCACGCTCCAGCCTTCGTCGCACTTGCCGTATCACACGGCCACGCTGCCTTGTGAAGCACTGCAGCCTCACGCTGCCATCGGCATCTAGGCATCGTCGTTGTATCGCACGATGTCTTGGCATCTCGCCTTCTCCACACGCCTCCGCTTAAGCTTCACCGGACAAGCTACTCTCTAACCTATCCAACATGCATAACAAAAGCAAACTAAATATGCAGATACATGAATCAAGATTAAAGCTAACAGTGTTCGCATTGGGGTGGCAAGATATCAAGTAATAGTTCTGCCGTCATCCCAGGGGTTCTCTTCCCTGGACATAGTTTGAGAATAGGTTTAGGGTTTTCCGTGGGGCAATGCCTCTCCACGTCTTTTTATATATAATGATCAGCATACACAAGTTACCTACGTACATAATACGTGTACATGACACGCTAGACCTATTTAAACATACCCCCTCAATCTGAACTTCTACTCTGTACAAGGTTTAGATTGGTACTAAACGGTCTAGCATCTGTCGAGTGGCTGGTTTGGTAAACACGTCAGCCAGCTGATCATTAGAAGAAATGAACCTGACATCAAGAGCTCCAGAAGCAACACGCTCACGCACAAAGTGGAAGTCAATCTCGATGTGCTTGGTGCGTGCATGAAAAACTGGGTTGGCAGTCAGATATGTGGCTCCTAAATTATCACACCATAGAACAGGAACACGCTGCTGGGAAACACCAAGCTCCTTGAGTAGTGATTCTACCCAAATGGCCTCAGCAGCTCCATTTGCCAAGGCTTTGTACTCAGCCTCCGTACTAGATCTCGACACCGTCGGTTGCTTCTTCGAACTCCAGGAGATGAGATTTGGGCCAACAAAGATGGCAAAGCCTCCAGTGGATCGTCGATCATCAGGACACCCGGCCCAGTCTGCGTCAGTGAAAATACTAATGCTGGTGGAGACAACCTTCCGAAACTTCAGGCCAGTTTGCAATGTTCCCTTTACATAGAGCAGGATGCGCTTAACAGCTTCCCAATGAACATCAGTGGGCTATGAGAGAAACTGGCATACCTTGTTCACTGCAAATGAAATGTCTGGGCGAGTGAGAGTCAAATACTGCAATCCACCAACGACATTGCGATACCGGAAAGAATCATCGGCACCGAGAGGCTGTCCAGACACCCGTGCAAGCTGGTCGGAGGTAGACAACGGTGTGG